AGCCTGAAATTGCTGTAAATAGTAGTCTGACAAACACTTGGCGCTATGCTAGCTAACATGGCGTTAGCTAGCATAGCGCTAACATGGCACTAGCTAGCATTGCACAAGCAATAACAAGACCAAACAGCTGACAAGTTGAATTCATTTCAGCTGTTTTCATTTCAGCTTTTCTAATATCTGTAATTTCAGCAAATGTATTGAAATTCCCTTCAAATTTCTGCAATGTCAGCAATTTTCTGAAGTTCATTTCAGCTTTCAGCTTTTTGCATTCCAACGCATTTTCAGCAGGAAATGCATTTTCTACTTTATAGTGCTTTCCCTTTGCCCTTACATTTTATTTTCAAACATCTCATATCCTTAAGGTTTTTATTCGTCTCCATAGAATCTCTTTAGGTTTAAACTAAACCTCTGTGATTGCAAATAATTATAATTATCATAATTGCAAGTAGAGAAAAGTTGGGGAAAAGAAGAGGAAAGTATGAATGAAATTCATCTTCTGACCAGACAGCAGATCTTTAACGAGGCCTGAAATATCTCATCTGAAGGGGGTTTTATTGGGCAGATTTTCCAGGTCTCACCAGTCACACACTGGCACAATAAAATGTGCAGGAGCGAAAACCGTGCTGTAAACACAATTTGCAGGATGATCTCACTGTCCATTATCGGCTTGTCTTAGTTTCAGTGTTTCATCTAATATATGATATCAAATATATAATGAATGTATATGTACATATGTATAAAGTTATACATTTGGCCTCAACCAATCTTTAAAAAACAGTTGCATGCACACAGTACGTCTTAAAGGAGAATTGATCCACTTACTTACTGTGGCTCAGGCAGATGAACCAACACCAACGTGGTCGCTGGTCGCTGACACCCCTGAGAGTGGTTGGATGGGACTAAGAAACAAAATATTTCTTTCCGCTGTGATACTAAACGTCTGTAAAAATACAAGGTGGTTTTGTTTCATGAAACTAACTTCCTGCGACATTTCTTTTGAATAAAAAGAGTGATAAAAGAATACGTGACACGTCGTCCTTGACAGAAGATCACCGACAGCGTCAGGACTTAAAGTTCGGGGCGAGTGTTTGTGATGTTATCCCATTGTTTTCCTCCAGTTTATCTAAAGATACAGTATATAAAAATGCACGCTGTCATAAATAAACTCCTCTGATTTACTACCATTAGTAACAATTTACAATATAAGACCCGTTTGCTGAATAAAACACTGCACTGCGAGAGCATGACGTGATGGGCTAAACGTGGCATCCACGTGTGTCTCTTCTTAATTACCTTTCTGAAATTGAGGCTGACACCGTCTAAGTTGTTTGAATTAAACGCTGACTTATGTTTGAAGTCTTTCTGATGAAATCCACCGTGCAGGAAGGTTTAACTCGAGAGACTTTCAGCAGCTGACGGACGGTGTGGTTGCCTGGAAACTGGTTGTGTCGTCGTCTCAGAACCGAGCTGCACAAATATAAACAGTTTGGAAACCGTAGTGATGTTGACAACCAGCTACGACCATAATTATCCATAATTTTACCTATACGGACCAGTGCAGGAGCTGTACAAATCACGTTGATCTTAATGAGTGGCCGCCCGTGAGACGAGGGACGCAGGGACCGTCTAGTGCAATGCAGAAAAACACATTTCAGAAATATTCAATAACTTCACTATTATGAATGGTAGCACCCCCACAATAATTCCATAGGTCCATGGCATTGTACCTGTTGCACTACACGTTTTACTTGGTTTGAAAATGTCTTTTGACTATTTTCTATGAATAATGACATAATTTTGGTGGTTCTAAAGTCCATAACAGTGGAGTTATTGGATGTTATTTGCAATAAATGTTGAATAATATTCATAGAAAATAGTCAGAAGCAATTGTAAAACAAAGTTAAAGGTGTAGTACAACAAGAACACGCGCATGGACATATGACATGATTTTGGGGATGCTACTGTTCACAACAGTGGAGGTAGTGAATATTATTTGCCATAAATACTGAACATTATTATTAATAATTACTCAATAGCAACAACAAGTACACACCCATGGATGTACGCTAATGACTTTTGCCTTGCTACACTTTTCAACAGTTATAGTGACTATTCCTCGAAATCAAAAGTATTCTGCAGTATAGAAGCAGATCTTTCAATAATTACTGCTTTACTTCAAACCCCTAGTGGGAATTAATTATTGAATAAAAAGTCAAAGTACAACAAGAACAAGCCTATTGATGTATGGCAGGACGTGCTAACTTTATAAAAGAGTGACACTATTGAATAATGTTTACATTAAGTACTCAAAATAATGAATCATTACAAATCAAAAGCACATTTCATTAAAATAACTACTGTAGTAGAACAATAATGAGCCCACTTACTATATAAACCCTCTCCTTTAGATTAGTCTAATATGCCTTTCTGTATCCCTGTTTCTGTATTCGATTTGACTTCCATGATTGTCCACTGTGTCCACAGCATATCTCATTTGTTTTTATGTGAGTGAGTGAGAGTGAGATGAAATCATTTGCTGATCACCTCGGTCAGCATTTGAACCGTGGCAGTAAACCCTCCCGTGTGTCCGGACCTTATCCTCCTCTTTCAACCACGCTGCCCGCAGGTACATTCTGACTCTCATTTCTTTGTTGCCCGAGGTCGATGTTTTAGTTTCGGATACTCTGCTTGTGGAGGAAGTCTCTACTGTGCAGCTAGGGTGACTATTTCCATAGCAACGGTATCTCCAAGAACAATGAAACAATGCCTTTGAATTAGCAATGCACATACATGAGGTCTTCCAGTCGGGTATCTCCTGTACAAAATTTCCAAATGTTAGTTAAAAACAATGAGATATACACTGGAATAAATGCCAAATATGTCGATCAGCTGTATCATCTGTATTTTAGATGCTGTGACCTAAAAGGACACGCAGGACTCATCGCTGCGCTCATCTTCTCACAATTAAGACGGATTTGGTTATTTCCCTCTCCGAGCAGCACAGATGTGGATGTGGATGCGCAGTGGTCGGAGCAGCAGCGGTCAGGGGTGGGGCCGGCAGCACGGAGGAGTTTGTTTTAATATGTCCACTTGGAGAATCCTCAGGGGAAATATCCCGGGTTGTGCTGCAGATGTTTCACTGTGTTTGCATGCTTGGAATTGAGGTTGGGCCCTTTGATCTAAATGAAAACGCGCCGCATGAGGTTTGATGCGCGGGGCGAGTCCAAGCTGCGCTCGCGGAGCGGATCAAGAAAGCGTTCCCGTCTCTGGGTTTTCCCAGGTTCCCCTGCAGAGTCTACCTTCCGTGATTAGAGACATGGGAATACCACGGCCCCTCGCCTTGATCCACCCCCCTCTCCGGCACAGCTTGCGTTTGGCATCTCCAGTGGAAACACTGTGAGTTGGTGCCAGCGGTGGCAAACCACCAATGCCTACATGCTTCCTCCCACAGAGATCCTCTTTAAATCCACTCTGCTCTGTCATCAGGCTCTAGTTTCCCTTTTAAATGCACCATAGCTGAACGATCAAATGGACAATAAACAAGAAGAAGCACACCATCCCGCTATAACACAAAAAATGATCCGCGACCATTGTGGGCACCATACGGTTAAACTGCATTAATAATATCAAGGCTTTTGTGACTCACAGGCTCGGATTC